CCTCTTTCGTAGTTATTGCCCCTTTCGCTAGAAACCTTGTTATCGCTACTCCTCTGAAACCGTAAACCATAGAGGTACGAAACCTTCACCAATGTCTTCGACTAATTGAGGAGACTCTTCAATCTATTCATTACGAAAGGATTCGTTGAGCCCTTTTATGAGTTGTTGCCCCTGAAAGTTTTTGAAGTTTACAAATAATGAAAAATTTTCAAAACGATAAGTCGTAGAGACATGAAACTAACTGCATTAGATTCCTTAACCCTAGACCTTGAAGTTTATGTCAAGGTCAAAGGTCAAGGTCATTCCAAATAAAAGAAATAAAGCTCTTTTTATAGCTCTTTTGTCTTTCAACATATACAGTATATCTTTGCATCTTTAATATGTACTTTTAAAACTATTTCAAAGATTTCAATCTTGTCCCCTTAGCTTAACCCTTTTAAAAGTTATTGCCCCTTGTGCGAAAAACCTTGTTATCGCTACTCCTCTGAAACCGTAAACCGCAGAGACACGAAACCTTCACTAATGTATTCAGTGTCTTTAGACACAACTTCAATCTATTCAGTGCGAAAGTATCCGATGACCCCTTATATGAGTTATCGCCCTTTAACGTCTTTGCGCTTACTAGTAAACCTTATAACTTTAAAGCTAAAAGTGGTAGAAGCATGGGGTTAATTGTAATGTGACCCTTGGCCTTTGACTTTGAATATTTGTTCAAGGTCAAAGGTCAAGGTCATTTCAAAATTTTTAATTTTTCATTTTTTCCATCTCTCAAGCCATTTCTGGTTTCTTTTGTATAAAAATAAAGAGTAGAGAGTTAAATATGAAGAATATATGAAATTTAAAGGTGGAAAGACCTCTAATTGTTCGAGAACAATTAGTCTACTAGTTATTCTTATTATTCTTATTATTATTATTTTTCTTCCGCTGATTTTTTGTTTCGACATTTATCGAAAAGATTTTTTGTTCATCGTAAAGGTCATAAAAAGTTATGAACAAATTTGATCCAACGCATATAACCTATGACCCCTTTCGCAGTTATTGCCCCTTTCGCTAGAAAACTTGTTATCGCTACTCCTCCGAAAGCGTAAACCGTAGAGATACAAAACCTTCATCAATGTCTTCGACTATCTAAGTACTTGCTTCATTGTATCATTGCGAAAGTATTCGTCGACCCCTTTTATGAGTTAATGCCCCTGAAAGTTGTTGAAGTTTACAAATAATGAAAAATTTTCAAAACGATAAGACATAGAGACATGAAACCAACTGCATTAGATTCTTTGACCTTAGACCTTGAAGTTTATGTCAAGGTCAAAGGTCAAGGTCATTCCAAATATGAGAAATAAAGCTCTTTTTATAGCCCTTTTGTCTTTCAACATATACAGTATATCTTAACATCTTTAATATGTACTTTTAAAACTATTTCAAACATTTCAATCTTGTACCCTAATCTTAACCCTTTTAAAAGTTATTGCCCCTTGTGCAAAAAACCTTGTTATCGCTACTCCTCTGAAACCGTAAACCACAGAGACACGAAACCTTCACTAATGTATTCAGGGTCTTTAAACACAACTTCAGTCTATCAGTGCGAAAGTATCCCCAGACCCCTTATATGAGTTATCGCCCTTTAATGTCTTTGCACTTACTAGTAAACCTTATAACTTTAAAACTAAAAGTCGTAGAAGCATGGGGTTAATTGCAATTTGACCCTTGACCTTTGACCTTGAATATTTGTTCAAGGTCAAAGGTCAAGGTCATTTCAAATTTTTTAAGTTGCTATTTTTTCCATCTCTTTAGCCATTTCTGGTTTCTTTTGTATAAAAATAAACAGTAGAGACTTAAATGTGAAGAATATAGAAAATTTAAAGAAGGTGGAAAGACCTCTAATTGTTCGAGAACAATTAGTCTACTAGTTATTATTATTTTTCTTCCCGGACTTTTGAAACCGCAAGACTTATCGAAAAACTTTATAGTTCATGATACTGGATATTAAAAGTTATTCCAAAAAACGATCCCCCATGTTTGAACTTTGACCTCTTACGAAGTTATTGCCCCTTTTGCAAGAATAGCTTGTTATCGCTACTCCTTTGAAACCGTAGAGGCACGAAACCTTCACCAATGTCTTTGACTAATTGAGGGGATTCTTCAATCTATTCATTGCGAAAGAATTCGTTGACCACTTCAATGAGTTATTGCCCCTGAAAGTTTTTGATATTCATGAAAAATTAAAAATTTTCAAAACCATAAGTCGTAGAGACATGAAACCAACTGCATTGAATTCTTTGACCTTTGACCTTGAAATTTATGTCAAGGTCAAAGGTCAAGGTCATTCAAACTATGAGATATTTATAACTCTCTTGTCTTTCAACATATACTATAGGTCTTTGCATCTTTAATATGTCCTTCTAAAACTATTTCAAAGATTTCATTCTTGTCCCCTAAGCTTAACCCCTTTGAAAGTTATTGCCCCTTGTGCGAAAAACCTTGTTATCGCTACTCCTCTGAAACCGTAGACCGTAGAGACATCAAACCTTCACTAATGTCTTCAGGGTCTTTAGACACAACTTCAATCTATTCAGTGCGAAAGGATTTGATGACCCTTTATATGAGTTATCGCCCTTTAACGGCTTTGCGCTTAATAGTAGGCCTTATAACTTTAAAAGTATAAGTCCTAGAAGCATTAAAATAATTGCAATGTGATTCTTGACCTTTGACCTTTAATGTGTGGTAAAGGTCAAAGGTCAAGGTCATTTCAAAATTTTCAAAATTTTCATTTTTTTCTATTTTCAAGCCATTTCTGGATTCTTTTTGTATAAAAATTAACTTTAGAGAGTAAAATAAAAAATTGAAGAAATTTAAAGAAGGTGGAAAGACCTCTAATTGTTCGAGAACAATTAGTCTACTAGTTTATTAGTATTATTTTTATTATTTTTCCGCCGAATGGTTTTTTGTTTTAAAAGTTATCGAAAAGATTTATGGTCCATAAGAATGCACTTCGTAAAAGATTTTTACAGTTGACCCTGCGTATATGAACTTTGACCCCTCAAGGAGTTACAACCCCTTTCGCAATAAAAGCTTGTTATCGCTACTCCTTCGAAACCCTAAACCGTAGAGATAGGAAACCTTCACTAATGTCTTTGACTAATTTAGTAGACTCTTCAATCTATTCAGTGCGAAAGGTTGCATAAACCCCCTTTAATTAGTTATTGCCCCTGAAAGTTTTTGATGGTTACGAATAATTAATTTTTTCCTAAACGATTAATCGTAGAGACATGGGACCAATAGCATTGGCATGTATGACCTTTGACCTTGAAATTTATATAGAGGTCAAAGGTCAAGGTCATTCAAAATATGAGAAAATTAGCTCTTTTAATATCTCTTTTGTCTTTCAACATATACTGAATATCTTTACATCTATAATATGTCCTTCTAAAACTATTTCAAAGATTTCATTCTTGTCCCCCGAGCTTGACCCATTCAAAAGTTGTCACCCCTTGTGCAACAAAACCTTGTTATAGCTACTCCTCCGAAACCGTAAACCGTAGAGATTCCAAACCTTCATCAGTGTCTTCGACTCATTTAGTACGCTCTTCATTCTATCATTGCAAAAGCATTCTTTGGTCCCTTGTATGAGTTTCTGCCCCTGAAAGTTTACACCGCTTACATTTAATGAACCTTTTTTTAAAACGGTGTATCCTAGAGACATGGGATCAACTGCATGGGCATGTTCGACCTTTGACCTTGAAATATAGGTCAAGGTCAAAGGTCAAGGTCATTCAAAAACATTAGAAATTCCTTATATATGTGTAAAATATGGCAATTTACCAAATGACCTTGAACTTTGACCTTGACCTTTCACCTTGACCTTGGGTCAAATGGAAAAGTAAGGACATGCATTCAGCTCCAGTATCAGGTAAAAACATAGAAAAGATTTCTCTTTTTTTTAACCTTGACCTTTGACCTTGACCCAAGGTCACAATCAGGCTTAAGGATGTGGAAGTAGTTACAATTCTTAGTTTAAAAGAGGCATAAAATAAATAATTAACCTCCCCCCCCCCCTCTTAAAAAAAAATCACATCAACAACAACGTAGAATATTTCTGTCAAATTCAAACCAGACCTCGGATCGACACCGTATTTGGTACAATTGTAGTATAGACCTCAGAGAAAGCTTCTTGAGAGTTTTACGGTGAGTCCTATAAGTTTATAGAAGTCTTGAAGTTTCACGGCAAAAATTACAAGTTCTGTTGTGTTTGTAATTAAAGTGCAGGTGAACGAAGAAATGATCTAAACCTTTTATCGGCTATTTCTTCAGATGTCGTTAGCAGCATTCGATTCTCCTGATATTATATGACATTTTAATACCAAGCATTCTCTCTTTCTTTTGCATTTGGAATTTATTTGATTTTTATTTAGAATTAATCAGTTTCCAGAAATAGCGATTTTCGGTAGATTAAAAACAATTTTCGCTTTCATTGTCGTCTTTCCCTTCTAAAAATGCATGTTATGTTTAATTTAACCCAAAGAAATGCTTATTAAAATGTATCATAGTTATTTCAGGATATTCAGTCAGAAATGTTAAAATCCGAACCCGATCTTTTAAGCTTACAACAAAGCTATTTACAAAAAATTCAGCATGCTCACAATATCGATGAATCCGGCTACAGTCCATTAATACATTTTCATTAGGGAACAGTGTTAATGTTTTCTAACGCAGCCCGTCCCTTATTATTTAATATACTGTTTGCAAATTCAGGAACTATTTCCTTTTACGGAACTTCTTTCTTCCCCTACCGATTCTAAAAATACGCTTGCAATTATTCTATAGTCCTAAACATTTTAACATAATATTGTTATTGGAGTGCGTGGCCTAATGGTTAGCGCACCTGCCTTTCAAACCAAGGGTTTTGAGTTCGATCCCAGCTAGAGGAGTTTTTTGTTTTTTTTTTGTTTTTTTGCATTTATTGCATTTTTCTTCATTTTTTTCAGCCCAAATGACAGGGAAACACTTAAAAAGGTGGAAAGACCTCTAATTGTTCTCTGAACAATTAGTTTACTGGTTTGAAAAAAGTTTTACTTCCTTTACAGAATGAATCATATATGCGCATATTAATCTCTTTTTCTCAGCTGTGTTTATAAGTATATTATCCACCAACTTGTCGCCGTATATGCGTTCCTGACCATGAGGGAGTTGATTGAATAGGCATTAACAAAAGTGTGGTCCATGATTACACTGATCCCAATAACATTGCCAGTACCCACGCGAATGCGATTATTTGTCCATGTGATCCAGAAGTCGTTTATACTCCGATCCACTCAAAATAGACCCCTGATATGTCGAATAGCAAGTTGCACCTATTGATAATTCGACTCTGATACATGATTTTGTATTGCTATGACCTCCGATTATGATATAATACGCGGGGTCCGCGGTTGAGTTACCAGACGACAGAGCCACATCTGCATCACTGGATACCTTTACTTTGAATCGAATTGAATTTCTTCTTGCTAGGGATATTCCTGTTTGAATCCAAGAAGATTTTTTACTTATTATGAGACGCACTTCTGAAAAGATTAAAAAATATTTTTAAAGTGTTGTCATTTCTAAAAATAAACTACGGGGTACGGTGCATATCACGTTGATAAAACAATTCAAGATAGAGTAAAAAATCAAGAAAATAGAAAAAATATAGTGAAAATCTGAAAATTAAAGAATTAAATATATAATTCCAGAAAATAGCTCAATAAAAATGACTGTTTCAGAAATAGATTATTTCACATAAAGTTTAAGAAGAGGCAAAATTGACGAGCAAATTTTAATCGATGCAGTTTTACCTTTACAGAAATATCTCCAACCTTCTTCAGGATAACAATCCCACGATGGAAGGATACTCTTGACATGACAAAGACCGAATATCACACAGATCTCTCTGCCATTGTGACATGAGAATGCTCTACGATTCTCGCGTGCGGTCTTCATGGCACATTCTAAGCATGCGACGCCTGAGTAGTAAGATTGGATGGACAAATCAGTGTAGACATCATTCATGCCCTCATTCCTTGACCATTTTTCTTGTTCTAATGAATTAATAACTATGTAAGTGGCGAAAACAAAAAGGAAAATCTTCCTCAGCTCCATGCGAAATAGAAACAATATTTGCTGATTTTGATGTCCCTTACGTTATAGTCTCAGTTTGATTAAAGCCTCCGGTATATTGAAGTCAAACTGAATATTGAGAGTATATAATTAACAAGAGTGATCAACCTTAGCAATAAATATTATCAAAATTGGATGAAGAAGTAATTTATGTTGTAAAAGCAAAAGAGATAAGATCTCTAATTCAAACAATGTCTAAATCTTTGAAGTTGACGAATAATTCTTCTTTTTTATTTTTCAAAGCTTAAACTTTGTTTAGTTATGATCTCCATATCGAAACAGATCTTCAATTTGATATCCATTTATAATCAAGAAAGACCTTTTTTTTTTCAAGGAATTGAATGATTTTTTATTAGTTTTCGTTTAAAAACGTATGAAAGACTGTGCAATTGAGTTCCATTAAAATAATCAAAGAACGCTTATGTTTGAAAGCCCTAAAAATTCACAAACATCGTGGTATCATTATAAATTTCTTAGACCACAGTTGCATATCAAATAAGATGAGAAATTTAAAGAACATAAATATTCATAGCAATATCAAGCTGATAAGGGAATTATTCCCTTTGTATATAATGAAGGTAACAGAAACTTTTCAACTGCATCGAACAATGAAGCGAAGAATACCACACATGGAATACCTTAAAAGAATTAACATAGATATGGAAATAAGACTTTGAAGGTGATATTTATCCACTCATTATTGCCCCCTTTTTCACACCCTCCTCCCCTCTCTACTGCGAATAAAGTCTCTAAGTCTGGTTATGAAATCCGTTGTACCTTAACTTAGAACTATTTTTATTGTATAAGCTTTCAAATAATCACATTGTAAGCTCAATACAATGATTTAATAAGGACGAATTCCTTCACCCTGACACATTATTTTTCTTCTGTAAATGTTTTCTGTATCCATCTTGAGATGTAAATCTCTAAGATACCAAGAGCAATCTTTAATACCTGTGAAAGAAGGCGAGCGAAATGCATATTGTGAGACAATTAAGAAAGTGAAAAATTCAAGTAATAATATGTATCAATGATAATAATAATAATGAAAAAAAAAACTATTTTTGAAGGAATTAGAGCTTTTTGGATTTCACTTTTCGTGACGTGCTGACGCTTTCCATGTTGAGAAGTTTAACTACTACGTCACATTGTAATCATATCAAAGGAAGTAACCGTGTTCACTTCTCTCCCACGCTATTAAAGTCGATAAACAGCAATATATACATGGGTTCATAAAAGGGGACAGACATTCCTGCCGTCTTTTTATCGAATATTTCCAGAAATTTTTCTTTAATAATGAAATAGAGTAATTATAGGTAAATTATTTTATTCCATAGCAAATTGCACTTTTTTAATCTTCATGAAAAGTAGTGCATGATTCATTGATAACTGGATTTTATCAATATGGCTTATTCTGAGATTTTAGTACTAGTATTTTGTTTCAAATCACTGCTGAAAATAGAGCTAATTAAGTTTTAAGAGATATATTAAAGAAGGAGGAATAAATGTAATATAGACCTTTAGGCTGAGAGGCTAAACTAAACAGAAATTCCTTGACAAGGATGAAAAGTCACTACACCTTATATTGTTTAGGGACACATGTACAACCGTAAATTCGAATTAAAGTTTTTATCCTCGTATTCTAAATTTTATGACATATTTATGATGGCCTACAACATTCTGCTTGCTTCGTAATGAACTCAAATATATTTCCAGTAGACACCTTTTATCCATGTTATCCTCATAACGTATCATAAATGATTAATACATGTAAAATAATGACATAAAATGACGATTTCAATGATCGAAGTTCAGCACTTTCTGTAGGGCTGCTGGGTGCGTGTAAATTTAATGTACATACCCCATAATGATCAAAACTGACTTGAAAAAATATTAAAATAAGCATAATTTTCTTTTTGAATAAAATTGTTTTACATACTACATACAGTGTATTTCATAAAATATCCATGAAATATCTTGCCACGCCGAACATTTTCGTATTATCAGTACAGTATCATTTTCACACTGGGATAATCAGTATGCAGTAATCATCAAAAGGCCAAAAATTAGTTTGGCGATCGCCATGAGACCCAGAAAAAGTACCTAGGAATATCTTAAGTATACACAGAACTAGGAACTAAATGTATGTCAGTTTCTATCACCCAATCCTGGACCTTAATTCGTTTGATTGACGGAGGTCCTTAGATCAGGTAAATTTGAAGGAGGTTCTTATTTCTCTGCCTTTGAATACAAAAATTTGCATATAAAGTACTCAGCCAAAGCTTGAACTTAGAAATTATTCATTTTCATACTAAAAACACTGCTTTTTTATAGAGTTGACGACAGATCTTTCTCTATCTCTTGTCTAAGACTTTCCCAAAACACTGGTTGTCCAAAGGTTTCCTCAGGATATTCCAAATAATAACCCTTCTTTATAAAATCACGAGCTTTTTGAAGAATCTTCGACTTGCATACACCTGGCATTAGGATTAAGTGTACAAAATTCAATGTTTTTCTCGCTTGAACTCCTTCCATCCTGGCCATATTTAACTCGTAGTCCTGCCAGTCGGATTCCAGAAAATTCTTAGAGACAACACAAATAGTTCTTTTACTTCGACTGATGTAATCCATAATATTATTTGCATGGTCTCCGCTAGGTTCCATGTCTCTATGCATTACTGCAAGTCTTATATGATGGTCATTATTATCTTCAAGGTTGGGTATCATTTCTTCTTTTACAAATGATACATCTTTTGCAGAGTAGGATATGTAAGCGTCAAATTCAAAAGTATCATCGCCTCCACCTGATTCAAGGCGGTGATATCCCTTTAATTTTTTGTCTGCTATGTATCGTAAGTAACGTATTTTCCAGCGGTTTTTATAAACTAAGTAGCATGCGGTAATGGTGACCACCAAAGTACATCCAATGCAACTAATAACATACCAGATCAAATATGATTTACAATTTTTGTCCAATATATTTACCGAATTCTGAAGATTTTGAACAAAGCGAGATTCATCAAGGCAGAAATAATCGCTGAAATCTTTGAAATGCGGAGAAAACTTTATTATCCAATGTAAGAAGTTTAGGTTTTCGCAAGTGCAAGAAAGACGATTATTGGATAAGTCCACGGTGAGATTCCCGGCTTGAAAATGCTGATTAAGATACTCTATGTCAGTGGAAGTGAGGGTCTCTATGCGGTTCCCTGAGAGATCAAGATATCTTAAATTTCTCATATGATTTATTTTCACTCCCCATTTGTAAAGACGGTTTCCTTGAAGCAATAGTTGCTTGATACCTGTGACATTAATAAATATTTGCCCTGGTAGATATTCTATATTGTTATTAGATATGTCTAAGAATTCCAGGTTTACCTGATTTCTGAAAATTAATCCTTTAGAATCCGATGATAAACTTTCTGCTAGATTGTTGCCTCTGAATTTTAATGTTTTAACACCAGAAAAGTGTAACAGAAATTCTGTTGAAATGTTGAAGCAAAAGTTTTGAGAGAGATCAAGTTCTTCTACAGAATCTAATCCATATATTGGACCTTTCCATGAGTACCAAATGTTGTTTTGCATATATATTTTTCTAAGAGAGGTTGCATGAAATCCGACTCTGCCTAAATATCCAAACAAACGACTAGAGGACCAATACAAAACCTCAAGCTTTGGGGGTAGATAAAACGTAACATAAGGTATGGATTTTTTCTCTTTTGCCTTCTCCAAATGCAAATCTTGCCTCTGTCCATTTTTGTATAGAATTGTTTTTGCCTGTAATTCTTCCCCAAGTGATGGGCAAGGAAGTTTGTCGGGATTCTCGTCGCAAATCTGAAATAGTTTTTCTATTACACTCGGTGGGTTCAGCTGTAAACTAACATTTAATTCTCTCAATTCCTTTAGTAGGCGATATTCAAAATCATATAACCCCAGAGATAGTCTGTTATTTGCCATAGACAGTTTTTGGAGGGTTTTAGGTAGATTACTTAACACGCCTTTTTCCATCCATTCTAGTCGATTTCCTGCTAAATTCAACTCTTTTAATTCTGTATTTAAAAGGTATTTTAAGTGACTCTTACAAAGTTGTGTTCCAGCTCCTCTGAAGCACCTGATGTTTTCCAAATGCAGCTTCTGAATATTTGTATTTTGTAGATTGAATGTTATGTTTCCTAAACTTTCAAATCCTAGATCTACATTGTATGAAAGACATAGTTCTGATAAATGGTGAAGGATACCAAACGCTCCCTTGTCAGTATATTTGATCATACATGCAGATATGTCCAAAATTTGAAGAAATGGAAAGTACTGAAAAGTGTTCTCTTTAATTCGTCTCATATAACAGTATCCATTTATTCCTGAAAGATCCAAAGTATGCAGTTTCCTCAACTGAGAAAAATGTTTTCCAAATACTGTTCCATTTGGCGTGTCGATGGAAAGTACTTCTAATGTTTTCAATTCTGCAAAAATGGTGTCATTTATATATCCTTCCTTCGAGTTGTGTTTTATATTTAGATGAAACAGTGATATCAAAGGCGAAAACAATCCCTTAAAGTAATTTCTGTTTGAAAGTTCGACCTTGTTTCTTTCCAGATTTAAAACTTTTAAATTTCTTAGACAATGAAATGGATTGTCAGAGAGATTACGGATGTTATTGTTCGACAAGTCAAGCTCAATAATTTTAAGTGGATCAGTAGCTATTTTTCCAATGGAAACGTTATTCAGAGCTTGCACATTTTGACAAAATTCTGGCACAGTTGTCAATCCCTGGGAGGAACAATTTACTTTTACTCCATCTCTGTCACTCACATAAGTACAGTTCTGAATCAAAGCATATTTGGCATCAACGCTTACGTATATTATAAGAACACAAAGATTTCCAAAGATGTTAAGATTGCATTCCATAATTCTGAACATATAACCATTTAGGGGCTATTCCATGGAAAACTGCATTTACTATCACACTCTTGAGTACTTATTACAATCCAAAGCAATTAGATTTCCTTAGAAATTTGATTCTTCTGACATATTTTAGAAGTCGCTT